ATCATGGTTAGTGAGAATAAGAAAGAAAGGAAGAACATAGAGAATCAAAAAGAAAGGAAAGAACAGTGAGAACTAGAAACAGTGGAAGAAAAGAGAAAGAACAAAGAAAGAAGGAAGAAGAGAAGAATGGAGTAAGGAAAGAACCAGAGAGTACTTCATGGGAATGGAAGAGTAGAGGATTTACCTACTGAGCAATTTGTGCTCACCCCGTTGTTTTCCCATGTTTTGCAGGATATAGGTAAGAAGCGGTCGGATGAATGTCGAAAAGCGAAGAGAAATGGCACTACTGTCCACCATTGTTAAAGCTTTTGTATATGCTATTTTGTATTTGTAAAGAATTATATGTTAAGTAAAGGGAAACATTTTGGGCCCATCTACTTTTTATATTTTACGTATGTATGTTTTTCATAGTGTATTTTCTAAGTATACTAGTAGAAAGAAGCTATTACAATATCATTTATCTTAACACTTTAAGATATCTTAATTAAATCCAATTAATTATTGCTTGACCATTTTAACCTTTAAAATGTCATGAATAATTTTTATGTAACAATTACCATAGAAATTCTATCATTACCCTCGGAAGGTGCTAGCCCTCTTCGGATAATCATTTCTCTCTCTTATCCTTCTCTAACTTCACAAGGCTACTGGTGTGACCATGTAGATCAACCATGGATTAGTCGTGAGCCGGTTCCGGATCTATCCGAAAACTTGTTCGAAGGCCTAACGACTATAGTAAACATCTAGCAATGTGACATAGTCCCTAAACCATGATGAATAAATACTTCATCAAACCCTTTTATAGATTATATATGCCATACAGATAAAGTCCCTCCATTGATATAACTTGATCGAGCACAGATTCATGGAACGTCAAAATTCTAAACTCTATTTTCTACTGAATTGTCGATCAATATGTCCGGAACTTGTCATCACGAACTTACTTTCATGTGAATAATGATATACTCTAGGTTTCCGCATATGGACAATGCATGACCAAATAGGCTTTATCATATGAAACATGACTAGTCTCATACTTATACATCATATGAACCATACGCACCTTATCAGTTCTGACCACGATGTCTTAGGTCAAAGGATTACATCACGCACTTATATAATCAAACGATAAATCATTGACTACATGCTTTTCCAAGTGACTTGTATTTATTTGGTCACATTTGAAAAATAGTTCACCAACCACTAATCCATACTAATGCCCAGTGACATTACTATCATCGTCATCCGTATTTATATCAACTCATGATATCTTTCAGAAGCATCTAGTATGCCTACTATGCGATATAGTTGCCCAAATAATATTGCTTCTATAGGGAATCTTTTTATAAATCCATTTACTGATTAAATGAATTATATGGACAATTCATATACGTACTTTATTTTAAATGCATGATAGAATAAAGGAAGCAATTTATATATATGAATTGAAGAACTCTTTCTTCTATTTTTTATAATATATTGATACAAGATAAAATGCTCTAAAACCGAAAACACGAATGGTTACTAGGGCATACACTAACAAAAATGACATAGTATCTATAGCCTTTAGTTGAGAGAAGAGGTGCTGGAGCTATATTGTTGCATCTTACCACATTGACAAGCCTGACAAAAGAAATTTTTATTGCTTTCAACATAATGTTTTACATGCATTTTATTCAATACATGATGAAGAGTCTTAACATTTGGATCGCCGAATCTGGCATTCAATAGCAAAACAAAACCAGATGGTACATTATTCTTAGTACAATCAGATAGAGTACTAAACATAGCAGTAGTATAATCTTTCGAATTATCGAGAAAACCAATTTTGGTAGTAGAATAGAAGTTGCTACATGAAGACTAGAAGGAGAAGCTTGGACTGAGGCAAAAGAGCTAAGAGTAATGGAAGATGCAGTAAAAGTAAGGACAATACTTGGAAAGTCCAATTGGTAAAGACCAACTTTCACTGTGCCTTAAAGATATTAGCTTTGCTATTTTTATCCTTTAGCAAGCAATGGTCAAAGTTAAACTCAACAATCACATTATTATCTCTAGTGATTTGACAAATAATTAATAGATTCTTGGCAATGTTTGGCACACACAATAAATTCCTAAGTTGCAAAATTTGATGAGAATCATAAGAAGGCAACAAAGACATACCTATATAGGTAATAGGAATGGATTGCTTGTTTCCAACTTACACTTTAGATCCACCTTGATAACTGGTTTTTAGTTGCATATTACTTGCATTTGTTGTTGTAGAAAACTCATATTTGTCAAACTTATAAGTTGTGTTTGCACATAAGTTCTATGTATACACTGGTAGCCAAACTTGTGTCTTGGCTTGTTTCGTTTAGAGTGTGTGTGCACAACAGTTTGTGCTTACACTCTCACTTCAGATATTTGCAACCCAACACGAGTTGCATGCCTGACAAAGTGAAATAGATTCTTTCTTGGATGCTATCAAAGCGAAAGTTAACTGATCATGAAAAGTTGACAAGGCATTGTTTTGTCTTTCTAGACGCATTTCATGTTTATCGAGTATAAACTGAGCCTCCTATAGGGTTGATTGACTGCTACTGGAAGTAAGGTTGGCTACCACAACATCATACTTTGGTCCCAGACCATCCAATATGTATAAGAGCAAATCTTCATCTCCATTTTGTACTCTGCTTGCAACTAACTAACCTTCTAATTCTTTCATATTTAAAATGTACTCATTAATACTCATTGATTCTTTCTTTGTCTTCTACAACAACTTTGTCAAATGCAAGTTTCTTGCTTTTGAAAAAGATTGAAAATGTAGCTCCAAATTTCATGCGCACTAGTACACTTAGCCACATGCCTAAACATAGACTCATAAATTGACAAAATCAACCAGCTCACTAAAAATTAATTTGTTGTTTTCCAACTAACATACCTATGGTTTGGTTTCTTGATTAATTACTTAGATTGTGTTGATTTTTCAAGTTGAAAAATAGAAGGACAAACAGACTCACTAGTAATGAATCCATCAAGTTCATGAGACGCAAAAGCAGGTAGAATCTTCGAGTGCCAATAAGTGTAATTTTTCTCCACTAATTTCATAGTAAGTGTTGGAAGTAAATTACTTTCCAGTTTACTTAGATTATATTAATTATTGCACTTTATTTCACTTAAGAGATTTTAAATTTTATATAACAAATTGGTGTAAATTGAATTTTCAATAGATAAGGGATTCATATTTTTGCTAAAAAAAATGAATCAACTTTCTAACTGGGTTTTTCTTTAATAATAATATTATTGGGTTTTTTTCTTATTATAACTATTGTAAAAATTAATATAGCTGGAATCATATTATATATTATATATTGATAATAATTATTGCGTAATTTTTTAACACATTAGAACAAGTTAAGAATGATTATAGAAATATTAAAAAAAATTATGAGTTATCTTTAAATTTTATTATTTTTATTTTATTTTTTATGACGTATGATATTATTGAAATGGATGACGTGGTAGACTTAATGTAAGTCAATTTATATTATTGAGATGGATGACGTTGCACACTTGATGTAAGTCAAGTCTTTGTTAGTGTGGAACATGACACTAAATTATTGAAATGGATGACGTGGTAGACTTGATGTAAGTCAAGTCTTTGTTAGTGGGGAACATGACACTGAATTATTGAAAGTTGTCCCCTAAATAATGCAAGATAATACATTTGTTGTTAAAAAAAAAAAGAAAAAATTGAAGATAATTGGATAAGAGAGAGGAAACATATTTTTATAAGACCAAATTTATTATTTTATTCATTTATCAAAAACGATAATATAACAAGTTTAGGAGAAACAGGTATCAGTAATACATTTTTCAAACTTCGAAGGTCTGTCTGTAAAAAGTGTAAAAATTGTAATTTGAATTAGTTTTGGAAAATTTAAATTGATATGGCACATAGTTTGTATTCGAATGTATACCCAACGGCATAGTTTGTATTCGAATGTATACCCAACGTTAACTTAATAAATGTTTATTAAAAATATATATAAATAATGTATTAATAAAAAGTTGTGTTACATCAATTTGTACTTAAAAAAATAGATTATACATATAATATCACTTTAAATAAATAATTAAAGTATAAATGATATAAAATATTATTGAAATGGATTACAATACACCTTGTCATTTAAGATTCTGTACGTGACAATCACTGGTCATGATTTATATATTTTCGGTACAAGACATAAAATATAATCTTTTGGCACCTCAAGACAAAATTAGTAGTCCACAAGGTCAAGGCGGTCTCTTGCTCTTTAAAGTGTTTTTTATTATTTAATAATTTTCAGTATACCTCAATCATGCATATGAAATAGTTTGATATGGGAGAATTTCTTCAATAAATTAAATTTAATACCTGAATTCATTAAAAAATTAAGGAGAGAATATTCTAAGCATTTTTGGGTAAAAAAAATATATTAAAAAGAAACAAATCAATTTACTTAACTATAATCAAGTCTTGGAATTAGGCAACACTATATGTACAATCTAATCTCATAAACTTTTTCTCTAACTCTAACATGGTAGTTGGCAATTAATCAATTCGTAAATAGGTCTTGCCTATTTAATTACAAATTAACTAACTACGTGATGTCACGTCAAAGTTATAAGAAAAAATTTATAAGCTTGAATTGTGAGTAAATCTTTGTTGTTTTGAACATTTTTCGTTGTAGCAAAGTTTTCTCATCAATTTCTATTGATAATTTCTAAAATTCTTTTAAGGATTATACTGTACGAAACTAAATCATCTAAAACCTATTCTTTGACATATATTTTATGGCTTTTTTATTTGCATCTTGAAACTTGTTGATTTTTCCCGTCTTTTTATTTTATTGAGTAACAGAAATAAATTTAATCTGTAATCGATCAGAGAGTTGGCGGGCCCCTTCATCCTAGCCTGTGGTCTATTCTTCCACTCACACACCGTGGCCTCTTCTTATAAAAGCAGCCTGTGGCCTCTTACCAGAATTATGTCGCAAAAATAATCCCAAACTTTCTTTAGTCATCTTCTGTAAACAAATATTCTGAGAAATTGCTAGGGAGGACGACTAAAACACTTTGGTAAACAAGTATCCTAGCCTATGGCCACCTCTTCCTCAGAATCATTTCAATCAGATATGGAGCAGTGTGTAATCATACAGTTGGCCAATCCATCACAGCCCGTGGCTTCTTTAACTCAGCATATGGCCTTGTCTTCATCTCAACTTGGTATTTAAGTACCAGAATATTAAAATAAAAAAAGAATAAAGTAAAGAGAGAAGGCCAAGTGAAAGTTAATGAAAGCTTTATTTAAAATGAGAAATACAATAAAATTTTGGTGAGAAGATTGCGTTGTTCAACTCAATCACATCAGCAATTTAAAGACCTGTTCCACTAAGCCACTTCCCACAAATCTCTCCAACCACTCCCATCATATTTACCACTACTACCACTACTAAAATCTTATCTAGATAAAAACAAAATAAAAAACAACCCAGGCCACTTCCCAACGTGAACAAGCCTCACGTGATAGATATTTGACTTGGTAAACAAATTAACCACAACACGTTAAGTTGCACTAATTTTTGACAAATATGGCAATGAACTTTCATAATTAAGCAAATACATAATTTTTTTTCTTTTTTTTTTTTTTTTTTTTCTGTTTGTTTTCTTTATTGCAGACGATCTAAAAAAGTACCTACCACTGTATAAAGCTATACTCGGAGGCGACTTACGATATGTACAGGAAGTCTGTAACGAGGATAAGCATGTGTTAGAAGCCAGGATCACGGAAAACTCTGACACAGCTCTTCATGTAGCTGTAGGAGCAGTCACCGCGAATCATATCGTGGAGTATCTATTGACTAAATTACTAAATGATCAGGTGGCACTCACAAATAAAGACGGCAAAAGTGTGCTTTCAGTTGCTGCAATTGTTGGCAATGTCCAAGCAGCCAAAAAGATAAGGAAGAAATGGCCAGATTTATTGGATATCAAAACACTTTTAATTGAGGCTGCTCGACGTGGCAATAAGGAGATGATTACCTATTTATTGAAATTCACGGATAGAAACTTGTTGTATTCCTATCCGGATAAAGATAAAACCGGAGTTCTGTTCGTTCATTGGCTAATAATCGCTGGATTTTATGGTGAGTTAATTCTTCCATTGGCTACTACTAATTACCGATTAATTAGTTCCACTTATATATATATGTCCATCATCTTATGTCTCAGACTTAGCTGTAAGGGAGGTTGAAGATTATCCAAATTTAGCTCTAATGGAGTTAGATCATGGTGAGACTCTTTTGAGTACAATGGCCAAAAAGCAAATTGCATTTTCCATTGGAAAAAAGCTAAATTTTTGCCAGAACACCGTCTAAATATGTCAGCGTGAGTATAATTAACATATATCTCACATAATTCTAGTTATTTTTTTGCGTGAGTATAATCTAAACCATAAAAATATTTAATTAATTTATTAACTTCAATTTTGTTCAGTGATTTGTAGATATATATTTTGCAAAATGGAGTTTCTGATTGTTCTGAACTTTGCAGGTATTTTTGTAACGGTACACCACATAGCACGCAAATTCATCCCAAGCTGCATGATCAGAAACATGATGCTGTTCATCCAAAGCTGCAATCGAAACATGATGCCGTTCATCCAAAGCTGCAATCGAAAAATGATGCCATGCATCTGGAGCAACAACCAAAAAATGATGTCATGCATCCCAATTTGCATCCGAAACATTTGGTTGAGGTATATCCATGGCATTATATCAGGTAATTGGTTGATATGCTTCATTCGTCATAACACAATCAATTACGTATTACGTATTAAGTGGTTAGTGATAATTATATGTTAAATTACTTGGTTTAATACAACATCCAACTGTTTTATCTAACTATCTATATTGTTTGCAAAATCATGGCAGCCGCAGGATGCATAAAGGATCTTAATATATAATACAATAAGTAAATTAGGACCCCTAATTATATGTTTACCTCATTTGTGTACATTAAATGTGCTCAAAGGCAAAAGATATTGATTGTAGGATGAACCATATATATTCGGAAAGCCAGAAGGAAAAGTCCCCCTAGTATATTTGACATTTATGGCCTCTTGATTTATCCTTTCAAATGATAAATGTCTAGACTTTGTTGATATCCATGGGTCATAAATTGGTTTTCCACGCGACCTAAACAACCTGGGTTTGGCCCAGAGTGCATTTTAAAAGTCTAAACCCGAGAAAAAGCCCATGTTTTTCGTTATCCAAGCCTGGGTCGGGCCTATCCAGGCTTTTGGCCCAAGCTTTGTGGAAAAATTAAGGGTATTTTTGAAATTTTACTTGATTGATGATGGCTAGATGTAAGTTTCAGGGCCTATTGTAATTTTATTTTATGAAAGGGCAATGAATTTTTTTTTTTTTTTTTCGGATTTTCTATAATTTTTCAAGGACTATTTATAATTTTTTAAAATTTCATATAATATACCCAAGCCGGGCATTATTTTTTAGGTCTCGGCTAAGTCGGCCGGGCTAGTTTGTATTTCTAAGTTGTGTGAAGTGGGTAAAAGAAAGAAAGATAAATTTCTTTGAACTAAAATATTTAAAATAATAATGATGTCAATGTTTATTTGTTGAATTTGCGCAGATCGAGTTTACCCAAGTATAATTGGAGAGAAAGAATGGAGGCATCAACAAATAAAAAGGCTTGCGAAAGCCTTGTGCACGAAAATTACAAAAGATCTAGGCTATGAAAAAGCTTCCTCAATATTGAAGGAATCACTCCTTTTAGCGGCAGAATCAGGGGCTCACGAAGTTGTGGAAGAGATTATAAAATCATTTCCAGATGCAGTCTTGTGTGCAGATCAAGAACAATATAGTGCATTTCATTTAGCAGTCATTAACCGCCATGAATGGGTAATCAACCTCATATTCGAAATGAGTGGCCACAAACATTTGTTGTTGATGTCTCAAGACAAATCTGAAAATAATATCTTGCATTTAGCTGGAAAACTTGCCCCTCTATGTCAACCTAATCGCATCCCTGGTGCAGCACTAAAGATGCAGCATGAGTTGCAGTGGTTTAAGGTACTAAGAAATTTATTTAAACTGTTTCAAAAGTCTTTTCATTTATTCTTTTCTTTGATGATATATCTTTTCCAGGAAGTAGAGAAAATTGTACCGCCTACCATCAAAGAAAATAAAAATTCTCAAGGAAAAACTCCAGCAATGGTATTTGTTGAGGAACATCAGGGTCTTGTTAAAGAAGGTGAAAAATGGATGAAAGATGCAGCCACCTCTTGCTCAATAGTAACAATACTCATTGCTACAGTAGTATTTGCTGCAGCAATTACTGTACCTGGTGGGAATGCCGATAATGGTGGCATTCCAAATTTTTACTCTTTCCCGGCCTTTACTATCTTTGCCATTGCCGATGCAATCTCTTTGTTCTCATCAGTAGCAGCCATCTTCATGTTCATGTCCATCCTTACTGCACGCTACGCAGAAACTGATTTTCTATCTGCCCTGCCCAAAAGATTAATATTGGGTCTTTTTATGTTGTTCCTGTCCGTAACAGCCATGATGGTAGCCTTCGGTGCCACTGTTTATTTGGTGAATTTTGATTACGAGGATAATGAGTTAAGGAAAGACTGGGCATTTTATTTAGTAATGGGATTGTCTTTTTTGCCTGTGTCCGTTTTTGCCTATTCGCAATTTCCCCTCCTAGTGGACTTGACCTTTTCCACATATGGCCCCAGCATTTTTGGCAAGCACAGCACAGGTGTCTTATACACGAAAGATGAGTAAAAACTAAAAATTAAGGGTGTTATATATTGTCCAAGTTTTATATTTTAAGTGATGTGAGATTAGTATTTAAAATTTCAAGACTTGAGTCTTGAAATATGAAACTATGTTATACTGAAATTAGTCTTTACTAGAGTAATATATGTGCCTATTATTAGAGTTAAAGAGATCTTTAAGTGTGAGAGTGATTTGATAATAAACAATTTGCATCTTTGTATTCTGTTGTGACAAAAACTCTAGTATTAACTGTTGATAATGATTGGGTGAATCATGTAAAATTGTTTATATTTAATACGTTTCCTTTTATTAACTGTTTCATTTATCTCTTTTCTCCTTTTCTTTGATCTTTAGTTCTTAATTATATTTTTGTATCCATTCATGTGATCATGTCATTGTAATTGTTCGATATTTTCTGGAAAAATATTTGGCAACAGGAACTGGTATATTTTCTTGGCTATTTATAAAAATTTCACAAGTAAACTCTAATGTACATTACTATATAGTTCATTCTGCATATTTGATAGAATCGTCCACCCAATTTCCAGAATTCAGACAATCTTGAAGTTTGCTTAAATTCCATTTTTATATCAAATAAGAATTAAAAAAACTGAATTAAAGCTTATTAAAATTTTTTAAAGGATACAAGGCCGGTCATTGCCCAAAGCATTTTTAAACCCTTATCCATCCCCTAAGGATCGGACATGGATGACTCGCCAAAAATAATGACTAATTAACCAGCAAGCTAAGCTCTCGAGGGTTATTAAAAAATGCAATTCTTTATACATTAATTCATTTTCTTCGTGCGTAAAATTGGGCCTACCGCACTAATAAATAAACAATAGTCGCTGCATTTCAATTTAGGGAAGTCACTGATCATCAAGTTGGAGACTTTGTAAATAGAAGGAAGATATCAAGGCTGATCTTCATATGATCTGTTATCTAGAATTGGGCAACAAATAAAAGCATTTTAAAATGTCTTAATCTGTTTAGTTTCTTGCCCTGGTTTTGTTCACAATTATAGGATGCATATAACAAGTCCATATTTAAACCAGGAAGAAGGAGGGGTTGCCGATTGATCATGGTTATTTTTTGTTATCTGAATTGCTTAGATTTTGTATTTATAGCTTAATATCTATAACTTTTTTTTTTTTCCTCTGTTTTTTACTCTGCAATTCCCCTGTTTCTCATGCTTCCACGTCAGAACATTGTTGTTTGTCGCCAATGTTAGCACTAAAGACTAGTTCGGCTAGTGACATCTCGTCCAATCGGGTTGCAATGTCGCTGACTCTCAATTCCAACAACTGACGATCTAAAAAAGTACCTACATTGTATAAAGCTTACTCGAAGGCAACTTCCGATACGTACAAGAAGTCTGTAACCAGGCTGAACATGTGTTAGAAGCCAGGATCACGAAAATTCTGACCAGCTTTCATGTAGCTGTAGGAACAGTCACGGCGAATCATATCGTGGAGATCTATTGACTAAGTCAAATGATCAAGTGGCACTCAGAAATAAAGACGGCAAAACTGTGCTTTCAGTTGCTGCAATTGTTGGAAATGTCCAAGCCGCCAAGAAGATACCTATTTATTGAAATTCACGGATAGAAACTTTGTATTCCCATTCGGTTAAAGTAAAACCAATGTTTTGTTCGTTCATGTGCTAATAATTGCTGGATTTTATCGTGAGTTATATTCTATTAGCTACTACTAATTACAAATTAATTAGTACCCCTTTCAGTAATTATAGAACATTTTTTTTTTCTATCATCATCTTATGTCTCAGACTTAGCTATAAAGGAGGTTAAAGATTATCAAATTTAGCTCTAATGGAGTTGATCATGGTGAGACTCTTCTGAGTACAATAGCCAAAAATCGGATTGCGTTTTCCATAGGAGAAAGCCAAATTTTGCCAAAATGTTGTCTGCATATGTCTGTGTAGTATAATTAACACATATTCACATAATTCTAGTTAAATTTTGTGTGAGTATAAATATTATTAATTAATTTATTAACCCCAATCGGTTCGGTGATTTGTAGATATTTTTTCGCAAAATGAAGTTTCTGATTATTCTGAGCTTTGAAGGTATTTTGTAATGGTACACCACATAGCATGCAAATTCATCCAAGCTATACTATTGGGGGATTTAATTAATACTAGCAAATCCTAAATATCTGAAAATGAAAATAGTGCGAAAAGGACACAAAATAACTACACATACAAACACAAGATTTATAGTGGTTACCTCCATATGAGAGCTACGTCTACTTTACCGCTACAGATTTCACTAGAAGAAGAAGAAAAGAAATTACAAGAATCTCTCACAAGTCTCACAAATTGGTTCACTCACTAAACTCTATTCATGGCTCTTACTCTCTAATGTGGCTTTGCCTTCTATTCTTTGGTGATATCTAACTCCACACTTACCCTTTTTATAGGTAATACATGAGAACTATTCTTAATAGGACTCAATCTCATATCCTAATAGGAATTTATTCTAATTCCTAATACAATTATATTCCCTATTCCCAATTGTATTCCTCAAGGAAAACAATTCTAATTAACCATATTAGGAAAACTCATGTCCTAATCAAGTCTAATTTGGATTGAATTTGGCTCCACAATCTCAGCAATCTCCACTGGAGACAAGTGCAACACGTCTTCAATTCTTCACTTCCATCAGTAGTGATCAACTCTCTTTCTTCAAGCAAGAAATCCAATTGAAGTTGTACACAACTTCAGTTTCTCAATAGTAACCACCTTCATAAACATATCAGCTGATTTTACTGCTTGATTCTTCTTGAGAGCTATAACTCCTGTTCCAAAACTGAATGTATGAAATGGTATCGAAATTCTATGTGTTTTGTCCTAGCATGGTAGACTAGGCTCTTTGCTAGGTAAATTGCACTTTGACTATCACAATACGAAACGCTCTTTCATAATTCTAACCCAATTCTTCAAGGAACCAGTGTAACCATATGAGCTCGACTAGCTTCTATCATAGCAACTTACTCTACCTATGTAGTAAAGAGCAACAATCTTCTGCAACTTTGAAACTCAACTGATGGTTGGTACCACCTAGTAAAGACATAACTTGTGGTACTCTTGCGGTTATCAATGGCACCAGCCATATCAGCATCCACATAACCTTGTAGCTCTAAGTCTCACTTCCTAAAGATAATGCTGAATCTGTAGTATCTTTCAAATATCTGAGAATCCACTTTATTGCTTCCCAATATTGCTTTCTTGGATTGCTCATGTACTAAACAAATCCCACTACATGTGCTATGTTTGACCTTGTACACACCATGGCATATATGAGAATACCAATCGATGATGCAAAGGGTACCTTGGCCATGTAGTCTCACTCATGCTCTATTGTAGGTGACTGATCTTTGGATAGTTTAAAGTGACTAACCAAAGGAGTACTTACTGGCTTTGCTCTATGCATGTTGAATCTATTGAGTACTTTCTTCATATACTTTTTGTGTCAGCTTCAAGAAACCTGTAAATACTGTATAGCTAGTAATTCTTTGAGAAATATAAGATAAAATCCACTAAATAACTTTATAAACATAATACATAATGTAAAATCCGAAAATTCTAATTTTATTCATATAAATATATACACAAAATACTGATATACTTTAGTAAACATAAGGTAATCTTGAACGTGTCGCTAAACTCCTCTGCTTCTTGATCCCACCCGGTGGAAATCATCTAGTACATGCAAAACAGTAAAATAATGGAGTGAGCACTAATTGCTTAGTAAGTAAACCAAACTGCACTACTGTGTTTCCTCCGTTACTCATGTTCTGATTTTCTTTTCTCACTTTAATCTTTGATATATTCTTCATTCTTTTCTACATTCTGCATTCTTTTTGATATTTGCATTCTTTTATGATATTCTGATTTGCTACTTACCAACATGCAAAGACAATGAATAAAATTGTACATCGTCGAGCACATAAGAAATGTTGAATCATGCAGTAGCATACACATATGCAGAATAATAAACTTTCCTGAGAAAAGAACTTCTTTTCTTTTCTGTTTTTTGTCTCTTATGATGTATCTCTTTCTTTTCTTTTTTGTTTCTCTTTCTTATTCTGTTTCTCTTCTTGTGCCGATCGGACTAGGTTGAGGCATGGATTTGGAACCCTGGCCATGTGAGTGTATACGGGTACAATCCTCATTACATGCACTACGTGATGGACTGTAACTATGTTGTATCTCCGTTGAGGTCGCTCATTGATGGCGGCGTGCATGTAGGTATTCTCTGCTAGGTACAGTCCTCATCCACATGCACTGTTGACGGACTGTACAAATGTTGTATCTCTCTGCTGAGGCGCTCACTGATGGCGGCGTGCATGTGAGCATCTCTATCACTCACGGGTTCCTACTGCAACCAACCTTATAACATACATGCTGTAGAAAGAGAATAGAAAGGATACTATACACATTTCTAAATAAATTTCCAGGCTATGGAAATTCTACACTTGCATTCTTTAGAAATGAGAAAATATACTACTTGCATGTTAGCTTAAAAGAAATTATTATTCGTTTTCTTCTTCTTCTCATTCTTGCTAACTATCTCTTTACTAGATCAAGGCTATACATATATATCATGTACACAAAATATGCATGGTCAAGCCCCTCTTTAATATACTTTCCAAATCATATATACAAACTTGCAAATTCATTATGGCATAATGGTATGTCATGAAATATTCATCATTCTTTACTATCACAATTACCATATCAAATAACATTTAACTTGCAATCTTTCTACACTTTCATGTCTATTCAAAAGTAGAAAGGTTCAAGTAACTAGAACCAAACACTAAGGGTCATTTCTCTCATGGAACTAACATGACCAAGTGATATTCTAAATTTTGGCATAACAATATGCACTCTTGATACTAACTCTTACATTGGTTAAGCCCAACATAATCTTTCTACTTCAATTCTTGCTTTTCTCTAACCCTTTGTTCAATAGGGTTTAGCCAACTCATGCATGCATTTTCCTTTGGATTTATCAAACACTTCATATGCACATGCAAATACCATGTTGGCTACACTTCCACATCTCTCTACTCCACCAAAAATTTGAGCAAAAACTCAACTAACTAAGGATCAAACCTGGCCATTTTCAACAATTTCAACACTTC